GCATCTCTCGCGGGATACAGTGCTGAGACAGTGCGTTGGCATTCCAGGACTGGGCTTGGAATTTATCGATAAAATAGCGTAGTTTCCATTTAATAGGCTGGGACCATTCTTTTCTACCCTGTCGTCGCCCTTTTGAACAACGTAGCTTCTGGTGTGGGGGAAAATGTACCTTGCCACGCCACTGGTTCGCGTGTTAATCGAAACTTCCAAAACTGCCAACCATTCATGTTTCGTATCTTCTATATATTTAACTTGTTCGAGGTTGCAATGTCCTTACCGTTCTTTCTACCCCCATAAATAATGTATGAACTACGCGGCTGGATACGAACGACGGTAAATAGAAAAAAAAGTTCTATTTGCGGGGATTACGGAACGAGTTCAGTAAGAGAATAATTACATTAAACACAAAAAGTGGCCGAGTCCTCGACGTGCGCAACAGCTGCGAAATTGCCGTAAAAGTTCACGAGACGCTTTTTTGTTGCCCTGTCGGTACGTTGTCTCAGTGGACTTGTTTCGCAATCGAACCAGCCTAAGTGGTACGTAGAACTTAATAAAATGGTACTCGAAACAAAGTTGAAACACCCGAAAACAGCGAAAACGTCCTAAATACAAACACACACACACAAAAAAAAAAATATATATATATATATATATACATTTTTCTCTGAGCACAATAACCTTACTCTGTCATAGAGATATGAACTGAGCGCTATCAAACGCGCAGACGAAAAGCCTATAGACCTTTTTCGCTTACTCTCGCCCCCGACCGCCAAGAAGGCATATCCGGTACGGGCGACGAAAAAATATCGGAACGTTTCAACCTGCAAATGGTAAAAAAATAAAGTGGAGGCAAAACGAGAATCTGTGACGGTTACCTTTATGTCTTAAATGCCTTCTATTGGCGTGGCAACGGCAAAACAATGTTTTCGCCCATACTGGAAGTGACGACAATTCAAGATGGCGGCGCCCTTGCGGAAAAAGCGCAAGTTCGTCTGCTTCTTGAGCAGGCGTTGCGGTGACGTCAATACGACGCCAAGATCTTCTTGGCTGATTGAAACCAAAAGATAGTGGGTAGACCTCAAGGCGCCTAGCATTGAGCTCTACCCACTATCCTTCCGATCCCAGCCAATCAGAGCTCGGCGTCGCTCTGACGTCACCGCAACGCCTGCGCAAGAAGCAGACGAACTTGCGCTCCGCGTGGGTACGGCGCTGCAACAGGAAGCACTTTGTGCAATTCTTACCGCGTGAGCCAATATCACAAGAGAAGGGCTGTTCCACCTCAAACGTCATAATAATAATTAAAAAAATAAACACGCAGAGTCACTTCTGTTATCCCTACGACGACTTGAAGGCGAAAGCCCAAGAGCCATGATTTACTCGCTGAGTATCTGGGCGCTTATTTCTTGGTCTATTCGTGTTCAATGGAACCTTCCCACATCAGACACACCAATCTCTCGTTGAAAAAGGCACGAAAAGGAATTGTACGACGAATTAAACGATTAGCAAAAAGCACCTGGCGGATGTCGCTAACGCCTCGCTTGTAACGCCCGTCTCAGAACCTTTGGATAACTGTCTCGCCTCCGGCCACGACGAGAGAAGAGGGGAGAGGGACTCCCCTCTTTCCGAGAAGTCGCTATTATCCCTCTACAAGATTACGGAGGATTAATCCGTCACTCAAAAATCGTACAAAGACAGCGTTGGGGTTACTGGCGGTGGCCCGATCGCTGCTGTGCTTCGGCTGCTTTCAGCGGATGCTACGAGCCATCGGGGCCTATCCAAGGGCCTGTGAATGTCACGGGACCTTGGAGAGGGGGCACAGAGACGCGTGGAAAGCGTATCACGAGCTACGTCCACAGAGCGGGAGTGGCTGGGATAGCTCGCAGCGTCCGCTGCGTCTGGACGTAAAGTGCCGAGACAAACTACGTCACGATTGCGGCGGACGCGACCTGCTCTCCGCTGGCTGCTCTCCGGGCACCTGCCAGAGTAGGCCGTTCATAACAAAAAATACAGTCATCACGCTTAAAATACAAACGTGCGATTGTCATTTACGGATATTGTCGATCATATTTAGTCCATCTGTGAACACGACGGGTATATTTCAGACTTCGTTGAAGTAGCCCTTTAATATGCAGAGTGATCCTAATTCTTGATCTTAGTCATCCACTGAGTGGTCACGTAAACTTTTTGGTACCTTTCGCATCGCCGACGTGCTTTCGCTCAAGGACTTAGAAGGTCGACTGAACGATCAGACATATGAGGCTTTCGCTTTAATAATCTTTATTTCCTTCGCTTCCCAAATAAAGGCCGTGCGCAGCTTGACCAGGCCCTGTTCTCTATGGATGATCCACCCAGCGCCACTCAGCTCGCGTCAGCGTCGCCGCCCGCGAGTCTTTCAGCGTCTCACAGGAAGCGCGGCGAGAGGCGCACGCGCTTCAGCGCATCTTGGGGAGGGGATCCACTCTCGATGACGTCATGCGCAGGCCTAAACCAAGTGGGAGAGGCTTCTCAAGTTTTTAGCTGCGCTATAGGGTACCTACATGTTTCTGCCGCTCCAAAACATGTAGGCACCCTATAAAAAACATCGTTTTTTGTTGTTGTTTTTTTAGGTTGCGTTTTGTTGTACGTTGCGTTGCGCATTAAATGGTCGTGGACAGAAGCCCGTGGACAGAAGCAGGATCCCTGATCATAAGACGCTAGGGCGCCCCTTCCCGTTAGCGCATTAAATGGTCGCGCCTCACGGACGCTACAGCGCCTCCTGGCCGAGACAAGCAGGCCTATGGAGCACCTTGAAGGTGGCCAGGTAGCGGTCGCATTGGACGCAGACCGAACCGTTCCTCTACAGCGGGGGACACAAGCCGTCGTACTTCCGAGGCCTACTAACTTCCCGGGGCAACGTTCATACGACGAGTCCTTTTCTCGGGGGGCACAGAGGGGAGCCTACCCGGAACCCCGGGGCCAAGGACTGCCCGCCGAGAGACGACGTCCGCTAGCGGGTGCCGACGACACCGACGGCACGAGGAGTGACGACGTCCACGAAGGCACAATGGCCCCGACGGGGTGTCCTGGGAGGGGCTCTGACGCGATGCGCGCCAACAAGGCCATCAATCTGGAAAGCTTCTCCGAGAAACTTCCGGCTGGGAGAGAGATATCTGCTCCCAAAAGAGATGTCGCGCAAAGAACCAGCCCGAAGGGTTCTAAACGCATTTATAACAGAAATTAAGCTGGTTCGAAACACGGACACCACCAAACCATTTTTGTTTCTTTTTTAGAATGGAGGTATTACGCATTGTCGTATAAGATAGCTGACGATAATATTGATCACCGGGCGTCTTTCCCACGATCAATATTTTCGTCAGCTCTCTTATTCGGAGCAGCCTAATATAGATCCATTCTAAGAGAAAAAAAAAAAAGGTTTTGGTGATATTGTCTTTTGAACCAGCTTAATATCTGCTACAAATGTGTTGAGGCAGTCGTGTCTTGGTGCAGTCCATGGCTCGTTCTTTTCTTCCCACTATCCCTTCTTGGGTATACGGTCGCACGACAGGCGACTGCCCGTCGGGTTGCAGAACCCGGGCATCCAGGGTACAATCCCCATCCCTGCCCGTTTGGATCTGAAGGAGCATCGGACCGGCGTGCGGTCGTGCATCACTACTCCAATGCACGGTAAACACTGCAGGCTGCGATACTGCGCAGGCTAAATTTCTCATTTACAGCGTGAAGAAGTGTCGTCATACCCGGCGGTCAGCCGCAGAGCTGTACAGGCTGTATATGCATCTAACGTCTAGACATCTCATGCCTAATTTGCCTCTGGCACCAGGAACGAGAGGTCAGTTATGCCAGCGCCGGGCGCGCGTTGAGGCGTCAATGCATGTCAGGTATAAGAGGAAAAGGGACCAAAAAGTTCCCAAACAAGATGAACACGGAGATAACGAGCACAAAATGGTGGTGCGAAAGCGCGCCTTGACCCCGCTAAAAGAAAAAAAAAAATACTGTAGTGTCAAAATAACTTTTTTTTTTTCTTTACTGAGCGGGTTTTCGTGGACGTAACAGAACACTTTCTCGACCCCTCCCAAACGCCACCTGAGCACGAAGAACTCCGCATGTTTCACGGCCGCATTCCCTGCCCTAGTCCACAATCCCGAAACCCATACAAGGTTCGGAATCACGGGCAGTTCGAAAGGGCCCAAACCGCAGGGCCCTCTCCGACCGTTCGTTCACCGGAGACGACGACCCACGGAGTCCTTCGAGGTCGCCTTACAAGGCGAGGCAATGCGGAAGGCTCGCTCGGGGCACCGGCGAGCATCGACGCACTTCGTCGCCTCTGTCTTCGACGCCCGGGCGACACGCGCACTCTCGACAGCGTCGCGCTCGGGCCCCGGGCCGAGCAGGCGAGTCGCGGATGCTCGGGCCCTGAGTCAGCCGCCCAGAGCGCCGAAATAGTTGCCGTCCTGACAGACGGCCCCCCTCGGGCCCTCGCACGGTGCCCCGAGGCGCTGTCCCAGAGGCGCGAAGAGCGGGCTTCGACCCCCGGGACCAGCGGACGAGACGGCCGAAACAAATGGCCGCCATCCTACATTAGGGACTTCTCGTGGATGGTTTCCGCCGTCCCGCAACGTCCTCCGCAACCCGCTGCGAGATCCGGGACTCTGCAGGCGAGGCTAGTGCCGCGCATGCGCAGTAGTGGCGTCTTCCTTCCGGAGAGCGTAGCGGGCAAACGATTTAACAGATTTGCGTTAAAAAAAAGCTGCGAATTAATTATTAATTATTCGTTAATGAACGAATTTAACTGAAATATTTTACTTATCGCGACGATTAGACCCCCTACACTATGTCCCCCCGGCCATAAAACTCACCCGCATCAACCGCATTAATGTATCTTCCGTGGTTTCTTTAAACAAATCTGTTAAGGTTAGAAGAAGCCCCTTTGGAAGGGGATGGGCGCTTGGACGGTTCGTGCCCTGGTGCCCGACCGTATACACCAGCCAGAAGGAGGGACTCACCGGTGAAGCTGGCGGCGGAGTCCTCGAGGAAGCGCCGGAGGGACTCGGTGTTGGCCCAGACGAGGCCGCGAAGCTTCTCCCAGGACGCGTCTTGCAGGCGACGCTCGGCGGCCAGCGTGCAACACGACCGGGCAGACGGACACAGCGACAGCGAGTCACCTGCCCGGGGAAACAAAAGCCGGGACGAACGGTCAGACGGCGGGCTCGCGGGGCCACGACGGCCAAAGGGACGCGGGCCCATCGGCGATCCTCACTTCGGCGGTTCGGCGAAAATACGCCAGGAGGCGCGAGCCAGCGTATCGCTCTATATCGCTCGCGCAGCAGGCACAAGGCTGGCGATGCGAAGAATATCATCCGCGTTGTCGCATCCGACGGCCTTGTGCCTGCTGCACGAGCGGTAACTTCTTGAGTAACTTCCATCCCGCGCTTCACTCCTGCTTTAAGTTCTCCTAAAATTGTCTGATTTGTGAGTTTTCAATGACACTCGGCAAGTGTCTTATTAAAAGCATACGTTTACTTTCACTAAAATTAATAAACTGTAGTTAATTATATAACGCCAATGTCTACTCTTTTCCCGTTTTCTTTTCCTTCAATTTCGGACGTTTGCGGCGGTTAGCAATTCGTTCCTGAAAAGGTTCTCTTTTTCTCAAGATCCCTATTGAAATTTGAAAGTCTTCGCTGTAATACGCAGTAGTAGACACAATGACCGATGTACTGATTAGTCTCGTGACCACTAATAGAACTGATGACATATTCATTTTTCCGTAATTTACACGACTTATACGAGGCATTTCACGAGTGTCCAGTTAAAACATCGAATCACGCAACAAATAATTCCCGAGTGTTCGTCACGCTACTCAGTCATGAGCCTCGATGGAAGCAAAACCCGAGGGTCAAAACTCGGCAAGACTACGTATATAAATTTACTTTTTTTATTTCCATAGATTCGTCAAAACATAGTCGGGTGTTCATTTGTCGGTAGGTATAGGGGCAAACGCCGGAACTCAAACACTCAAGATGGGCAGACATGCACCGAAGAGCCGCGGGTCCCTCCTCCTATGCGGTTGTGAACATCGATAATGGAACGCCGGGGGAGCTGCCGCGAGGCCGCGGTCTGAACTTAACGAGAACTTGCTCGCGGCCTAACCATTAACACGCTCAGCCCTAAAAAGAAAAGAAACTCGTTCGAAGCAACGGGGTGCCCGCTCGTGGTCATTATCCATTGAACCGCCGCGCCGGTTTGCCGCCTACCCGCCTTCATCTTGGCCGCTGCCCAGGTCCGTCTAGAGTCAAAATTCCAAAGGAAAAGAGGAAATAGCCCGCGGGGAGTCAACGGCGGACAACGAACAGCTGGAAGGGACGAAACAACCAACCGCAGACGATACCTGGTCTGCCTGCGAACTTCAAATCGCTAATGGAGAGTTTTCCACTAAGGGGACCCGAACCTCAGGGGCCCCCTATTTGAAAGCGCTCTATTAAATCGTGCGTGAGCCTCGACTCCATCTCACAAATTTTTATTCAGTCAACACCTCGATGAGGCCGCGGTATTCGATTTTCTACTTCATCAACCCAAGGTCAGTGCGGCGCATATATTTGATCCGAGTTAAGCGTTCGGCTCAGAATCGTGCTCTCAGACCGACTGAGCACGAGTCCCAGTCGAAGGTTGACGCAGCGTTCGATCTGCGCTTCGCGTTGGCCTCCGCTACGTGACGTAGTACATCCAGGACTGCGGCCTCGTTTTGCGCACCACCAAAGGTAGAAAGAAGCGCTAAGGGCCTTTGGGGAAAAAGCGCTCCGGTGGGTACCTCCGCCGAAAACAATCGTGAAAGCAACCAGGGGCCCTTCTCTGGACGCTTGGCGAGAACGTCGGCTTAGAAGTCCGGCGACATGTGATTGGCCGGCGCCACGGTCAAGTGCCGCGTTGACCAATCACGGCCGCCTGATTTCTCGCCGACTTTGTCGCCCAGTCTGATCCTGCCAAGCTACAATAGCAGCCCGAACCTGGCCTCATCCGGCGGGCCTTGGTGGCTATATCCGGATCCAGGCGCCGAAGGGCCTGACATCTCTATCGGATCATTTATCAAGAGCCAGCCACGAGTGAGAAAACGAGAAAAACAAAAAGGTCCGCTCCCTCGCTAATTCGTCGCGCACAAAAACCTAGTTGTAGCGCCGTGCGCAGCATCCGGTTCCAAAATGGTTCACTCCAGAATCCATAGTTTCCTTAATTTGCTTTTAGTGTTACAGAAAAAAAAAAAAAAGAGTTGAGACACTAATTCTTGAAGGCTCGAGATCGGGTAAATTTGATGGGCCGCAAGATTCTAGTATCGCGCGAACTGCGGAGAAAACTCTCCAGGGGTCGTACGATCGTTTGAGACGTTCTGTGTTTGTTCCATTCTTCGTCTGTCGTCTCCAGTTTTCTTTTCTTTTTTTTTTTCTTCAGATATTTGTTGTACGATCTTTCGGACGTTTTGTCCAGGAAGCATAGTTTCCGTCCAGAAGGACGAGCACCTTTCCTGCCCGAAATATCGACACCCTTTAAAAATCAAACCACGGGCACGGGTGGCCCAAGTGCGGACGAAGCGTGCGCCCTCAAACGCGTTTTTACTTTCCGAGTTTCCCATCTCGGCCACCCCCGAAACCGTTGAAACGTACGCGGAACCTGCCGAAACGTTACACACCAACTCAAACTCCCTGACGTCACCCCCACTGCGACCATATCGGCTGTTTAGCCCTACGCATCCGGAGCAGCCCCACGCGAATCGGGTTTCAGTGCCCACACCCGGGCGTGGGCGAACGCCGGCTTGTTTGTAAACAATGTGGGTCGGCGTGCAATCTTCCATTCGACGCCGAGCGCGTCCGCGTGGGCAAACTTTAGCAACTCCGATTTCGGGGCGTATCCACGAGTACGTGTTCGTCCCCTTTTTGGCACGCGGATCCGTTCCTTCTCTTTTCTTTCTTCGCTTGGAAAAACGCGCGGCCCAGCTGTTCATTCTCCATCGTGCCCCACGTGGCCCCGGAGGGGGCGTGACCCCGGTCTCACGTTACAACGGCATCACAGACTCGAGGTTTGCAAAACGAGCGCCCACTCTTCACCGGTATAAAGCTGACAGTGCGGGGGAAGCCTTCTTCGGAACACTCGCACGTCTACCTTTTCGTCCCGTGATAAGGCTCCCGCCAACATGGACGCGCAGAGGGCGGGGTCAGCCGATGAAAGGGAGGCGGCTGATTGGTCCAGGGAGAGCGCAGCTTTTACCGCACTCTTTGTTTCTCGGGTGAACGGAGTCGAGACGGCTGCTTCAGGCGGTCGGGCAGCGAATACGCCCCGCCGTTATACTGCTCGTTCCTCCCCGTTCTCTACGCCGTCTGTGAAGAACAATGGGCGCTCTTTTTTTTTCCCCCGAAGACGCGTCAGTCTGGCGAGCTAACGAACGTGCAGAACGATGAGAATTCGCTGACGGCGGCCTGCGCGTAACAGCGGCCGTGCTTCCGGGCGCGTGCGCTGGGAGTTTGGTCGGACACAAAAGGCGCCGACATCGCACCGCGCGTGCTCTCGGTGGGTAATAACGAGTCACGTGACCACCGCGAGCGAGTAACCTTGACCTGCGCGTCTACTGCGAGCTGCTGCAAATGGTCCGGATCAAATAGAGAGGCGGTGGACCGCGCGAAAAAAATGCCATATGCCACCCTGGCGCACTTTTTACTTCATTCGAGAGGTGAAAGAAAATCCTTTCGAGGATGGCTCACTATGGCATTATCGTTTCGTCGAAACCCGTTTCGTGGAATTACGTTTCGTGGACAACTTTACATGGACACACGTTTCTTCGACACGAACGTTTCATCGACACTCGTTACGCCCCCCAAAACGACCGGCTAAAACTCGTGGGGTCGTTTGACCTCACAAGACGACCGATTCCATTAAGTCGCGCTGCAGTCACCCCCAAAAAAGTGAGCGAACGCAGCAAGCGCAATGAAACCGTTCAGTGACACCACACTCCGTTTCCCAAGTCCCGTTCTCCTGCATGACAGCTCTCCCTCAATAGGGACTTCTTCCCCCCTCCCCCTCCCTCCCTCCCCTTCCCTCCTCCTCCTTTTCCTCTCCCTCAATCCCTCTCTCCCTCCCTCCCCTCCCCTCCCCCCCTCCCCTCCCCCCCCCCCCCCCCCCCCCCCCCCCCCGTTCTCGCTCCTACCTGGATGTTACGACTACGCGACACCCGATGTCTTACGCTATACTCTACGAAAGCTCACGTACAAGTTGCCGGGACATCAGCGCTTCACATTAAGCGGCGCGTACCAGTTCAAGGAGATCGCCTGGCACGCGACATTCGAGACCGTAAGGTTTCGCAGACTTCCACGTAAGGGAAGAAGAACACAACGTGCTGTGCGAAACAGCCTTATGTCGGGCCACCGGTGAATCTTGAAGCGCACGGCGCTGCAACGCGAACCTCTTGGCGTCAACGGATAGCACGTCAGTATCGGCGCTCTAGACGTGACAGGGTACAAAAGGTCTCGAACCGGCGGGGAATGTCGGCCTTGGCCCTGGCGGCGTGAGAGCCAATGGATCTTCGGACCGGCGGGGAACGTTCTTCGACACCGAAGCCGCGGGGGGGAGCGAAAGGTTCTCCACAAACGGACGCCTAAAGCCGGGTTAGCTAGGCTGCTAGACGTCCCTGAGGTCCTGACTCTGAATGGAAGCCCAGTTCTTCAGTAGCACGCCAGACGCCTAGAGGGCGCAAGTTGCGCTCCCTCTCACCTGGAACCTTCTACAACTAGGGGACTTCCCCAAGACGCGTCCCGTTGATCGCGGTGATGGTTCGTTCGCGTGTTATGCCAAGAACACGCGCGGGCATTTTTCTTTCCAATTGTATTCATTAATAAAGCTTGGACTTGGGTTTGGGCTAGTTGGTTGTACATTGATAGACGTGCTGCGCTGCGAAGTTCTACAAAACAAACGCGTGACTAAAAATTGAAATGAAAAGGATGAGTTTACATTGAGATGAGGAGAAAACACAACGAACTGCGTTCATTTGTGTTCGTTGTGTTTTCTCCTCATCTCAATGTAAACTCATCCTTTTCATTTCAATTTTTAGTCACGCGTTTGTTCTGTAGAACTTCGCAGCGCAGCACGTCTATCAATTGTATTCAATTCGAGCAACCGCTCA